GGGGGGGGGGGGGGGGGGGGGGGGGGGGGGGGGGGGGGGGGGGGGGGGGGGGGGGGGGGGTGATACCTTGATTATGTCGCAAAACCGAGGATATCGCCATTTCGTCCCCGGGTATGCATGGATTTGATTTTTTTCACACCAACGTTCCTTGTTATAGAACACACGTACCTACCAAAGGGCGTCTTGTGGGAGGACAAGGTGAATGTGAAAACATCGAAATGGCCTTAGGGTTGCTGGGGAGAATTCTCACCGGAGCGGCCAGCTGAACAGTGCCTGTTTGGGTGGGCACAACATCAGCGACGCAAGGGTTTTCATCCGGATTTCTTTTTAAGGAGTCGTTGTAAGATCAGAATGGATCGATTATGCATTTATTCCTTGGTTTTGGCTCCTTGTCATGCGCACAGCACCGCTGTACGGCCCAAAAGTGCCCGGGCCCAAAAGGGGTAGAACCAGTCCCTGATTCCAGGCCGACACCCGGGAATGTGAGGATTTTGTCCCCGGGTGATGATCGTTCCCAAAAAACATTCTCAAACGAACCAATGTAGCAGTAGACGTGTGTATACCAAAAATCAGATCATGAAACGCTTCAGAACGCACGAAATCAGCCACAAAGGCCAAGTGTCCCTTAATAGGGGGGGGTGAATTCCTCCATTTCTCGGTGAACAAAGAGTTCCACTGCACCAACCCTATAACATCTACGCTTGCGATTTTGTTTTGTAGGGAGATAGCCTATGATACATCCTATCGCCTGATATTTAAAATATTTACAAATCGCTTTCACGCCCGAGCACGAGCTGTTGGCGCGAGAGGCGGCTTAGGCGTCCCTTGATAGGTCGGTTTACTCTAGGCACCGAACAGAACTGGGTACAACAGTTCAGGGATGCGAGGTACAAACTGGGATGGACGGACGGCGGCAACGAGATGAAACGAAGAACAAACAACAAGACTGCAGTTGGGTAACGAACAGCCTACAACGACAGCGAGTGACAAGCAGCGTGGGTGTTATAGTGGCCAGAATAAGGACATGGAAGCTCGTTCTTCGTCTGATTCTCGCAGACCGTCAACTAAACCCCACCTGCACCCGTTTCTCAAGCTCGTTCAGACGCCGCCGCTTGCCACCACCACCCCTTCCGCCACCATCGTCATCGCTGCCTCCGTCCCGGTCGGGGGTGGAGTAGCTGTCGTCATCACCACCGTCACCGCCATCCGATGAAGAAGAGACCTTGCTCTCTTCCATTGACCTCCTGTCGGAGCGCCTGCTCTTCTTGCTCGAGCTTTCGGCAGCAGCTTTCCCGCCACTGTTGCTGTCGAGGGTTTTGATGCGGGATCGGAGGCGTTCTTCTTTTTCTCTGGCTGCGTCGAGGTCTCTGTTTTCCGTGAAAAGGCGATGGTAGGAGGAGGGGGGGCACGCGACAGGGGTGGAATGTTTCAGAAAACGCATAGACGAAAACGTCGAATTCTCTCATCACATGACCCTACTCCACCAATAGCTCGCCGACTCACGGCACAAGCTGCCCGATGCTACGCGTACAGCAGTACACCCGCCACAACAGCGAGCGGGTAATCCAGCGAGTCCCAAAACCGCGCCCTTTCTTGAACCGCACCGCTGCTGCACAATCACGCAGAGCGGCACCAACAATCGTCCGCCCCGTACCCCACGAGCGCACCGCATACTCCCCTCCCAAGATGCCCGACCACCCCGAGCAGGATGCAACGCACCCTCCATGCGAATCGCCGAATACCTCACGGCGCTTCGCGCTTGGTGATGTGAGAGCCTGGTCCGGTGAGAACCCGGCGCGCTCCGTCCCGGCTTTGTAGGGATGCGAGGTCAATGGTCTNCCCCCCCCCCCCCCCCGAAGGTACCCACCGCCGGGTCTCCGTCAGGCGGTCCTCCAGAGAAGCCGCTCTCTCCTCAGCCTTGGTCACCTCCGCTCGCAGCTGCGCGTTGTCCTCGAGGAGCTTGTCCTTGGCCCTTGTCGCGGCCTGTCGCCCGCGGCGCTCCCGCTCGATGTCGCGGGCAGCCTGCGCACGTGCGTTGAAAGAGCAGAGCAAAGCGGGCCCATCCGCCCGTTTTTGGTGTTTGTTTTTTTTTCTCTCTAGTCATTGGACTCTGTCGTCTGGCCCTCTGGCCCCTATCCTCCACTTCTACTAGCTAGACGACCCAACAGTAGTCACACAGGAGGGGGACATAGGAGGGGGGGGGTTGGGCCCCCTCTTGAGGTGTGCGTGTGTGCATGTGCTGTTGGCATCGACCGCGCTCACCGGCTGACGCATGGAAAGACGTCAGTCTCAGTGCGGTTGTGTCTCTTACTGTAAGCATCGACCGCGATAGCCGGGCTAACCGATGATAGTCTAGTGAGGCCGAAAACAGCATACTCTTCAAAAGACCATGATCTGGGGCCGCGCGAGGGAGGCGTCGTGAGGGGGGGAGGCTAAGCTGCTCTCCGGATGAGAGACAGAAACCGCAGCACCAAATCTACCGCCGCCACCACAACACCAAATCTACCGCCGCCACCACAACACCAAATCTACCGCCGCCACCACAACACCAAATCTACCGCCGCCACCACAACACCAAATCTACCCCCGCCACCACAACACCAAATCTACCGCCGCCACCACAACACCAAATCTACCCCCGCCACCACAACACCAAATCTACCGCCGCCACCACAACACCAAATCTACCCCCGCCACCACAACACCAAATCTACCGCCGCCACCACAACACCAAATCTACCCCCGCCACCACAACACCAAATCTACCGCCGCCACCACAACACCAAATCTACCCCCGCCACCACAACACCAAATCTACCGCCGCCACCACAACACCAAATCTACCCCCGCCACCACAACACCAAATCTACCGCCGCCACCACAACACCAAATCTACCCCCGCCACCACAACACCAAATCTACCGCCGCCACCACAACACCAAATCTACCCCCGCCACCACAACACCAAATCTACCGCCGCCACCACAACACCAAATCTACCCCCGCCACCACAACACCAAATCTACCGCCGCCACCACAACACCAAATCTACCCCCGCCACCACAACACCAAATCTACCGCCGCCACCACAACACCAAATCTACCCCCGCCACCACAACACCAAATCTACCGCCGCCACCACAACACCAAATCTACCCCCGCCACCACAACACCAAATCTACCGCCGCCACCACAACACCAAATCTACCCCCGCCACCACAACACCAAATCTACCGCCGCCACCACAACACCAAATCTACCGCCGCCACCACAACACCAAGGGGCCCCCGCCTGCACTCCTCCATTCCCCACACACACCCGTCTCGGCTTTGAAGGGATGCGAGGTCAATGGCCTAACGACTACGGCGTGTACGGCTCAGTGTACACCCCCCCACACATACCTGAGACACGCCCTCTTGCAGCGTGGAAACCTGTTCCCTGAGGCCTTTGAGGCGGTCGTCCACTGCGGCGGAGCGGTCCTCCGCCTTCTTTGCTCGTTCTCTGTCGTTGGCGATGGCCGCGGCCTCTCTGTCCATCTCCGACTGCACGAACTCCTGAAAGACAACAAAACACGTGGATACAACAAAAAGGAAATCAGGAAAGAACGTTTCATGGAAGGTGGTGTGGGAGGACCGAGAAAACAACAGCAACAACAACAACAACAACAACAACAACAACAACAAGCTAACGAACATAGGCCCGGGAGGCCGATGCGTGCAAAGCGGAAGCTCAGCAGGTGTGGAAAAAGACGGTAGATCGCGAGCAAAGCTGCGCGAAAAACACGAGTATGCTCACAGATGCTGTAGCATACCGTGGAGGAAATAAACACCTCGTCCCCTTTTCGAACAAAGAAAAACAACAATTAATCGAAGCACATATCTCCTTTCATGCGCAACCCCTTTCCCCTCCCGGAAACCCCACCCAAGAACCTCCCTCGCGCTTTCCGATCGACAAGCACAACCAATCGCTAGCTTCGGACAACCGATGCTACAGCAGCAGGGTGCACTTTTGGAGTGAGAAATCTTACACTTTTGGGGAGAAAACGTCTGGTCCTGTTTAAACGATCGAACGGCGACATATAGGAACGTGGCCAACGTAGAGTGCGTTTCCTTACCGTACCTCGAAAGTGTAAGATAACATGAGGTGACCCCGCTACCGTAGCGACCAGCCTCCCCCCCCCCCGACAGGAGACGTGCGAGCTCTACAGGTGTACAGGTTCAACTGCTCTCGCGTCTCACCTGCTTGAGCTTGACCAGCGTTTCCCTCAGCGCCCTCATCTTGTGCTCCTTCGACAGGAGGGCCTTGCGCAGCTCGGCCAGCCGCTTGGCGCCCGACTTGTCCTCCAGAGCCTTGAGCGCTCGCTCTTCCGCATCTTGCACCTGCACCAGCGGGAGAAACAAGCACGTGTGCCGCGCCAGGGGAGGGGGG